CCACCTGGTACACTGCCAAGGAACACGGAAAGTCATCGCCCGATGGCCACAACCACCCAAACCAGAAACGAAAGACGGAAAAGAGATCCGTGACGACGACGAAAGGGTCCTCTTCCACAAGCTCCAACTCGACAAAATACCCAGAGGATTCGACAAGTACTGGGAATGGCTGATGCAGAACCCCGACAAGTTCCAAGAGTTCTGCGAGGCGACCGAGTACTTCACCAAGATATGCCCCCCATTCCTGGAACAGCAAGAATGCTGCCTCAGGGAGAGGAGGGCGGAAGAAGACCAACAAAGGAGGATGGAAGAAGAGGGGGACAGCGAAGAAGAAGAGTTAGAGATAGTGGTGCCAAGAACCTTGGGAAACTAAAGGGGCAACAAGTTGAGAATACAGGCATTGAACTGCCCCTGGAAAACAGGAAACAGACAATGGCAGCAGGGTGCCCTGCAAGGAGGGGGCGACTGCCAGGAAAGTAAACATAGCACATAAGCAGGAAATTGGCCTCTGTAATTAGAATAGCAGCAGTCCACGTCTAATGCCCCTCGGGAGGCCGGCCATGCCCATAGACGTTAAAATAATCAATCAATCAATCAATCAATGTCTTCAATGCACTTTTGACTCGGTGCTGATGGTACATTATCGAAACTTACACTTTCATTACCACTGGAGCTGGTTGATTGAGTGTAAGCAGTGTCCGAAAACGCTTAGGGATGTACACGGAATACCAGTTCCAGTTCTACAGTTTGTTCCAGGTGAGGTTGGGAATAAGAATGGTGACCTAGTATGTATGTAAGTACCTGTTCCTGCTTATTATCTTTTCCATCTATTTTGATTTATTTATGCTTAAGTTTAAACTACCTAGGTACGCACAGCTTGCTATCTGATACCTGACGCGAAATTCATCCCTTTAATATTTATCTTGGGCGCAACTTGTTCATAAGCTGCGTCGATCACGAATATGTAGGCATACCGACGACAATGTAACGCTCCATGGAGCATATTCAGACATGGATGGATCAATCCGAATCAGGGCAGGTCTTGATGACGATTCTCTAGTTGCCATGAATAAACCTCAACGGAAACGAATCAGCGCTCTCCAAAATCCCGGCAACGAAATGCCGACGCACCTGTGAGTATTACTGTTGCAGACAAAACGCCAATCAGAAAGTCACCGAACTCGTCTCAAACTCAAATCTTTTCGAAACGCTGACAGATATCGCGCAGACATTCTTCATACACTATCAGCCACCCACGTCAAATATTGTCAATAGTCGCTGCCTGCCCGCGTTTCAATGTCACACCCGACTGAGTTGCCTCATTCATTTCTATTCGCGGCACAGCAGGATTAAGTGTGCTTCAACTTGGGAGGGTCAGTCAATTCGTTTTTGAGACTCATTAATTCGCACTTATTAGCTTAATCGTAACTCCATTGGACCATATACACATGAAGGTACCAGAAAATCACGCTCCGTGGCCGTAGCCTTCTCTAATATTAGATGAACAGATGGGGGTATAGTAATAGTAATTTAATGCAAGAAAAAATGTCGATCGGTTTCATTCGGCGGGCGACGTCGCGGAGGGCGCCGCGACCGCTGGAAGGGGCGTGAAGGCGACGTCAGGGTATTGGTTCTTCTCGAGCTGGATGCCGCCCTGGATGAGGTCGAAGAGGCGTTTGCCGACGGACGAGTAGCCGTCAACGTACTCGTCGCCGAAGACCTCGAGGAAGGTGTTGTACGTGGTGGCGGGGTCCTTGACACAGAAGCGGGTGAAGGTGTCGTTGGTGCCGCGGAAGAGCGTGCTGTTGGTGAACTCGCCCTGCACGCTGTCCCAGTATTGCGTGGGCACGAGCGGGCTTCGCGGCTGTGGGAATTCGAACCCGATCGACTTCACGATCCATCGCGTGTCGACGTTCTTGAAGTCTGACACGCCAATGATCGTCTGCAGCGAGATGCCGTCGTACATCCTCTCGAGACGCTCGTCGTCCCAGTTCGGGGCGTCTGGGTGGTTCTTGACGAAGTTCATGGCTGCAACTCCGCTGTCGATCTCAAAGCGGTACTTGTGGCTAACGTAAGGGGAGTTTTCGCGTTCTGTGACGGAATCTGTGTTAACTGAAGAACGTTGTTGGAACGTTTAGGGGTTACGCTTACGGTCCCAGCCCATATCGTGGAGAAGGGAGCCAAGAGCGTGAACTTCGAGGTCGACGCTGGCTTTGAGAGTGGCATTGTTGTTCAAACCAGCAGCACCAAGGAGCCATGTCCGCATGACGTGGTTGTAGAGGTAGGGCTGGAGAGGAATAAATTCTTTCACGAGCTCAACGGCATCCTGAACGATCGGGGTCCAAACAACCTCGACACCGGCAATGGTGGTCGTGGGGAGGGTCTTGTTGTGATTTTCTGGGTACGAGGGCTTCCTGGATCGGGGAGCAGCAGCAGCGGCGCCGGTCAGGGCCAGGGAAGAAACGAGACCAGTGACGAACTTCATCTTGAAATTATGAAATATACCAATGGACGATACTGAATCAACGCGGAGCTAAAGTAAGGAGTATATAAACTGGAGTGAGAACTAGAAACTCGGGAGATCAAGTGCAGGATTCACGTACTTTTATATGTTTCTTCGCCTCTGCTCACTCGAATCATATCCTGACTACCATCAGCGAACGAACCTTGGTTGGTGCCTGCATCGAGAACATCGATCAGGATGAGTGTGTTGACCTCATGCATATCTCACCCAAAATAGCACTTTTGGTGTCACTATGGGGATGTTCAGTGCTCACTTCGGCGATATCACATTACTTAATCAAGAAAGAGGCCGTTCACCCTGGTTTAGAGCTGAGACATCTGCACCGGTAGTTATGGGTACAAGCGGTATGTAGTGATATGAAGAGGCCAGGCTCATCCCACTTGCTTTTTGAATCTTCTTCTTCTTGGGCATGTTGCGTTCGTAACTATTGTGTATACAAATCGGAACTGAATTACAGATTCTTGTGTATGACGAACTTTTGTTCAGCGAATCCATCACAACTCTTCAGCTGATTCTCCCTTAATACGAATCTGTTATAAGGTGCTATGTAAAAGTACGAATCACCTTATGCAGGGACTGTTCTGCCACCGAGTTTGGAGTGTCTCCTCGGTACCATTGGCTAAGCCGCTGAGGCCCCCTGAGCCGACACGAATACTGCGTACAGACGGACCTACCAAAGCCGTAATTATGTAAAGCTAAATGAGCTTAGCCAGCTCTGAACCATTGATGGTCCCGTGTCGACGTAATTGCCAAGACTACTCACTCCACGATTGACGGAAGTTGCACTACTGTAAATTGTGATATGTAGCCATCATACAATCCAGCTTTCTTGTATGTATGCTATACCGACATTGTAAGTTGGGTGCAAGTCTGTTGATGTACGACTGGCAGCGCAAAAAGAGGTCTCTATCTACTTGCTTAATATCGTAATTTTGCTTTGATGGGAGAGCGGCACAATTGGAGATAGACATGGCATGTGGTGGCGGGATAGTAAGCTCCCGCTTTCACCCGCGGTACTACTTTCTTGTGAATTCAGGGTTAAAAACTGCCTGAATGATGATGACTCAAGTGTCAAGGCGGTCTGAGCCCTCAGTAACTACTTACGTACACTGCCTATAAATGTGATAGCTACGTAGGACGAGACATGCTGATAAGTTACAACCGTGTCTAAGGCCATTGATATCTTTTCATCAGTCTTGTTCGTACACTGCTGTACTGGGCGTAACTGGGCTTGTGCATACCTAATTCAGAACGTGAGTGTCAGCTCAACTTTTGCTTTTGACAACAGCAACTATGTAACGCTACGTGAAAGAGATGTCAACCCCCCGGCGCTGATTAGTGTGACTGCCAACGGGTGTACAGAATAGGCAATTCGACGGTTATCGATGGTGTAGAGTCAGCAATTATGATGACAAGTGTTGTATTCTGTCCTTGTATAGACTTGGTAACATGTTCGCGACACACCCGAAACGTAATGGTTGTTGTAAATATCGATGCTTTCACGTAAGCAAGCCTTACCTTCTGTCTGTCCTATCAAGCTGCTATTTGATGACTATGTTTGAACTGCCTACCCTACCTTCGCCTCACAAAGAATCAAGGTGGCATCACACAGTGGATTCGCATGGCGTCGGTTAGCTCCGTCAACCGTCCCGTCTCTTTTATAGTTAGGTTATGCATCCCATGCGGAATATACCGCCCGCTATTATCTTCGGGTACACAAAATAATGGACGCATCTCGAAAGTCGCACGCGACTGTCACTCAGTCTTTTCCACGGAGCTTCTCGGCCGCGAGTCACCGCGTTTGCGCAAAAATCTGGTCCAATCCTGTCGAGATTGTTGTCGATCCTTTCCTCCCGCCCCAACTCCTATAAATTTGATCAAAGCCCCGTATTTTTGCGATGGCTGACCATACGATGGCTGGTCGTATAGGTATCACGGCTCTGCTTATGATCGACAGTGACCCAAACCACCGGTGTTCCTTTCCTGATCACGTTATCCTGCGTTTTCGAAAGGGGTTTGACGAAGTAGGAACATAACAGCAAACTGCGAACTACTACCAAATGCCATTTCTTCCCTGCGTTGGTCTGGCGCACGGTTTCCGCTCTGTCTACGATGTTATTTTCGTGGCCGCTATAGCTGGTATCTTGTCTGTCCTTGCGACATTTGCGATGTCGAAGGAAGGAGAAACCATAACGCTAGTAGCCATTATATTCAACTTTTCATGCGATATCCATTGCGCTGTTCATCGCGTCCTCATCGGCTTCGCTAATTCGACTTAATATAAATGGTGTGTGAGAAGCTCTGGCCTATCAGTTGAGATCTCTTGTTTCGTATCTATGATGAGCTTATTGACCTACTTACGCAAAAATATAAAAGTGAGCGAATTTGAGAAAAAGAGAATAGGAAAAATATGAATATGAAAAACCTCTTGACTTGTAAAAATGTTGCAAAAATAACACCGCGAGGTGTCAAATGCTGGACGAACGGGGAATTGAACCCCGGACCCCTCCCAATCACTGAACCTGAAGGGACTTCAGGAAATGCGAAGGGAGTATCATACCCCTAGACCATTCGCCCGATTTGATGACGGCCGCACCGGAAGTATGCTACTAGTATCGCCTCTGCACTAGTCCGTAGTAGTCAGTCGCCATTCTCCACTGACCGTGTTTCGCACTGTATTTTCCAGCCTATGTCAAGTGCCCATGCTTTGTGACTGCGTGAGATCTAGACTGCCTAGGTACCTACAGGTACAGTTTTCGGGATTCTATACTGACTGTGTCAGACTGTACACTTCATACGTACCATCGACTCGACGCAACATTACAACATTACATAGCAACCAACATACATTATCGCACGCTCCTGAATCATAAGCTGTTGAATGAGATGAATCTGTAATTTACATTTGTCTCTTGCCAACCAATTTTCGGCAAATTTGTTATAAATATCCCCAATGCCGCCTCTCAATGGCTCTTGATAACGGCACGCGCTTGACCAGCTTCTGGTGAGTTCCACACAATCCTACGAAGTCTTGACAGTATACAGGCAGCTCAGTATGACATGGAGCGGAGAAGCAGTCCTGCTAACTCAAGCCAAGGTTTCTGGCTTCATTTATCTGGCTCTCGTATTCACTGAACAGGCACACTTTATTCAGTATGATTTACCTAGTGTTCGCCCCTACCACCGATAAGTGACAGACTGACTAACCAAACTCTTCAGACCAGCCACGCCTCTCGTCTTTTCTACTCCTGCTTATCTCCGGCTCATTGGCTTTTGCAACGAGCCTCTTTGCGAAATGGCTACCAGGAGCTGATGGCAGGTTTGGTTCGTTTATCATTTCCGTCTGTGCTATGCCGGTTATTAACATCCTCTATAGATTCCGACGCAGTCTTGAAGGCATCGTCACCATCCCTGCCGCCTAGACCCCATCGAATCTCCATACCCTGGATTATCAGTCTCATCGTCCTTAGACTTGAGTTTTCTTATATAGTTTTGCGTGATTTTCAGTGCTCCAAACCAAACGTTGAGGTGAGCTTGCCGCCACCAAGTCATCGAGTCAGTCTTAAGAGCAACTAACTTCGTCTAAAGGCATTTCTGCTGCTTTTATTAGCAGCCTACAAATTCTTCTCGTATCGTGCACCGCCAGTCGAGTTAGATGAGCCTGAAGACTTGTGGAGAAGCCAATTGGATGATCTCAAGGCCTGGCTGATAGGCTCGCCCTTCGTCCTGCTTCTTGGCTGTGCTGCCCTAAGTTATGGGGCTTTTCTGGCTGGCAACCTCGCGACGCGGTCTACTTATTTCTGTTCTTGTCTGGGAGATCATGGTTCGCTCATCGTACTCGTCCAATGGGCTGGCCTTGTCGCAGATACCGCCATCATCATTCTCCTTTGGAGAGTGCTCTCCCGGGCGCGAACCACTAGAAGTCGATTACGGACACTTGGTGGCATTTTACTAATCGCATCATTCGCGACATGGCTTCCCTTGTTAGTGACACAGCTCTTACGGCACGATGAGATTTTCAGCCATACATCCCTTAGGGCCATCAACTCTCTATATATCTTTGACACACTAAGCATGGGAGTAGTTGTGGCTACTCTGCTTATATCGGCATCCTTGATGCTATGTGATAAATCACCCCTTGAGCCCGTTGCCATCGCCACCTTTACATCCGGAACACTAACTAGTGTTAGTAAAATCCTGGTGGTTGGCACCTACCAGCAAACATCCGGAGCACAACCGCTGTTTGTATACGGCATTATTTCACTTGGATTTACTGTTTTCATCTATGCCAGTAATCTGCGCTTTGTTATCTTCATAAAGCGTGTGTTCTTTCTGTTATTAATTCTTGTCGTGACTATTTCTTCGATTATTTACGTTGTCTCTACACAGAAGACCCTCACCCATCACCCTGTTGATGAACTTGTGTATCAGAGCCGTGTAGGCGCTGACCGATGGCTACGTTATGCGACAATTAGTACAACTCTGAAAACTGCAGTCCAAGAATACGAGGAACGGCATCATGGACGCAATCCGCCACAGAATTTCGATAAATGGTTTGAGTTTGCTCAGGAAAGAAAGTCAGTGATTATTGACAAATTTGACCAGATTGAGAGGGATATTCTACCGTTCTGGGGTCTACAGCCCCAACGCATTAAGGACAACTTGGAGTTCCTCAAGAGCCAGCCCAACATTGGCGTCATTAGCATTGACAATGGCAATGTATTTCACAATAACCCAGCTGATCTTTCGCAACGAGAAACACTCGGCGAGATCGTAGCCTTGATCGCTGCCTTTGTCGAGCATCTCCCAACAATGAAGATTGCAATCAACTTGCAAGAACGACCGAAAGTCCTGGTCCCTTGGAATAAGATAAACAAATTACGAATGATAGCAACTCAGCCAGGCTTCCAGATTATCTCAGGCCAACTTGGCAAACGTGATGATTCGGACTCTTCCGCAGAGAACAATATCGATTTCACCATAGGAACAGGGCTGGCGGATTTGGTCTACCCCTATATTTCGGCGTCTCAATTTCGACAGCTCCAGGCACTTTCTTGCCCGCCGGGATCCCCAAGTCGTAACGGGATCAATTGGGATGTAAGAAACTTTTGTGCTTCATGTACTATACCTCACAGTAAGATGCAGTTCCTCGCAGATTGGCAAATGGCACTGGACCCGTGCCACCAACCTGATCTCTATAATCTCCACGAGTTTTATACCATTCCACATCAAGCCGAACTGTACGATGATTTGCTGCCAGTTTTCAGTGGATCGAAGACACCTAGCTTTAGCGATATCCTGATTCCTTTCCCACGGCCCGGATTGGAAACAAAACATGAAAGCAGGACTTTCAATCAAAAGCAGGATCTACTGTTATGGCAGGGCAATGTTAGTGATATGCAGGTCGTCACTCGCGAATCCCTTCACGGTAGTCATCGATTGCGCTTGGTGCACCTTATTCAGAACGCCACGGCAGCCGACAAAATCCCAATGCTATTAGGAATCGGATCAGGCGAGAATAGCAGGTTTCGATATGAGCATGTACCTGCCACCGAAAGCAATGAGGTTTTGCCGTTTCAAGTCTCATTGACTAACCCGTCCGAAGACTGCAGAGGCGTAAACTGCGAGCTCTTACGTGATGAATTTGGATTGGAGTCACAAATGACCGAAGTGGAAAGTCGCTATGTCATGTTGCTTGATACTAGCGACGGGCCACCACCAAATCTACTGCAAACCCTGGGATCAGATAGCGTGCCAGTTGTCGCGTCCATCTTTCAGGAATGGTTCACTGAAAGGCTGATGCCATGGGTGCATTTCATACCCATCGATTTACGATATCATGCTTTGCACAGCACAATGTCATACTTTATCGGCTTAGATGGTCGTGGTAAACTCAATGGGCGGAAACAGATCACCCCGCCCCGAGTAGAAGATGCAAAATGGATCGCCAAAGAAGGTCGCAAATGGGTCGAGAAGGCCATCAGGAAAGAAGACATGGAAGTGTATATGTTCAGGCTGCTACTGGAATGGGGACGGGTAATTGATGAGAATAGGGACGAGATGGGCTTTGTACTGAAAGATGCATAAGAGAATAATTGATGCTGCCTTAGGGGTACTTGATGTAGTAACTACCTAGGTACCTAGGTACCTACCCGAGGTACCTGCCATACAAGGTATTAATTTGATTTCGCCAACGGCCGGACTGCTTGCCAGTTGGCAGACTGGTAGTAACACCTAAGAACCAGGTGTACCTCGTGTAGGTAATCTGCACAAAGTACATATACGAGCAATTGCATATATGTTCTCGCTGGTAAATAAGTACCTACTACCTAGGGATACGTACCCCCTCGTTACCTATCAGCGCCCATGTATGTAAGGAGGCGTGACGTATGCTCTGTAAGGCAATGAAGATGCTGCTTCAGCGCGCTCAATTCCTCTCGCCATCTCCCAACTGTACAGCCTTCCTTTTAAACTTATCACCGCAACTCAACCGCTGCCTAGGTTCATCCCGGCTTACCTAACAAACAGTACACCCTGATCAAGCCTCATCATGATAAATCCATGGACTGACGAATCGCCGATGTGACTCCTTTGCGAACGTGCTATAGAATTACAATCATTCTAGCCTAGATTGTGCGAAAAAAAACATCATCTCATTTGATCGTGGCGCAGTTCTCGTCGACCAACCTCCTACAATGGCAGTCATTCCGGACAATTTCTCCAATATCCCGTGGCAGATCGGTACCAGTGATGGCGCTGAAGCTACGGAATCGTCGAGTGGCTCTATGTCCCACGTAGAAACCGAACCCCCAAGTAGCGACGATAAACAACGCGGCCAAGACCTACAGCGCCAGGATCCCGGTCTATCCGGCGATATACTTGAGTGCATTGTCTCTGAACCGCGAAAGGAAAGCGACGGTACCAAGGATGCCTTTGTATCATATCTAATAACTACACATGTGAGTTTGCCGCAGCGGCTAGAGATGCGGGAGTCGCTCAGTCGCTAACCCACAGCTTATGCGTAGTCAACAATCCCTTCCTTCCAAAAGCCCACCTTCACCTCCCGCCGACGCTTTACCGACTTTCTTTTTCTCTCCAAGACCTTATCGAAGGACTATCCAGCATGTGCCGTCCCTCCGCTACCAGACAAACAGCGCATGGAATATGTTCGAGGAGATCGCTTCGGGCCAGACTTCACAAGTCGCCGAGCTTATTCTCTCCAGCGCTTCCTCAAGCGCATAACGCTCCATCCGATCTTGCGGCGTGCTCCTATCCTCCACACGTTTCTCGAGTCTCCTGACTGGAATGCCACAATGAGATCTCGCGCTGGTAGGACGAGCATTGCTTCTGACCAAGGCAGTGGGGGGGTTTTTGACAATTTTGCCGATACCTTTATTAACGCTTTCACAAAGGTACATAAACATGACAAACGCTTCATTGAAGTGCGGGAGAAGAGTGACAAACTGGACGAGGACCTCGCCCAGGTGGAGAAGGTCGTGGCTCGCGTCGTGCGTCGTGAAACTGATTTGGAAGTCGATCTACGAGACTTAACAGAGCAGTTTCAGAAGCTCATTACC